TTAAAAGATCAATTTGATTCCCTTATGCCAATATCTGATAGTACCACTGAACAAGAGAGACAACGTGACAAATTCTCCATGGTCCTAGCCTTAATCGGACTACGATCTGACCTTGGTTCTGTTTGAGATCAAATTTTAGCTAGCCCTACCATACCATCTTTGGAAGATGTATTTACTTGATTATTGCGTCTTTCTTTAAACCTAGGCAATACTAATGAGGTTGAGACATCTGTATTAGCTGTTCAGGCAGGAAATCAGCAAGGACAGAGTGGTTCTCAAAACGGAAAAGGAAAAGGAAAGGGATCTAGACCACATTGCACTTATTGTGACAAGAACAGCCACAACCGAGACACTTGTTGGGCTTTGCATGGGAAGCCACCACGTCAATCTTCTAATCAATCCACCGCTTATATGGCTCAAGCAACTGGAGATGGACTCCTTCCCTTACCCGATGCTAAAGACCAACAACCCAACTCCATTACATTGTCTGGGGCTGATTACAATGAGTATCTTAAATATCAAGCTGTCAAGCAATAGTCATCCTCATCTGGCACCTCCCAAACTGGTAATTCCTTTGCTTATCTGAGTTGGACCTCCTCCACTGGCCCATGGATTTTGGATTCCAGAGCATTTGGCCACATTTCTGATAATAAAAATCTTTTATCTCAACTTACCTCTTCTCCCACTTTATCAAAATTTACTCTTGCTAATGGTTCATAGACTATGTTTAAAGGGATAGGAGAAGCTCAACCATTTCCTTCCATTTCTTTAAACTCAATCTTATTTGCCCTTGAATGTCCATATAATCTGATTTCTATAAGTAAGTTAACCAAATATCTTAACTGTTCTGTTACCTTTTTGGCTGACTCTATTGTGGTGCAGGATCGGAACATAGGTCAAACGATTGGAATAGGACGCAAATCACATGGACTGTACCACCTCTCGGATCCAAATCCGCCAATTACTTTCACCTCCGCTGCATCTACTAATATTCTTCATAGCCATCTTAGTCATCCAAGTCTTGCTAAATTTTAGAAATTAGTACCCAGTCTGTCTACATTATCTTCTTTTAATTGTGAGTCATGTCAACTTGGAAAACAAACTAGAGCTTCCTTTCCCAAGCGAGTCAATAATAGGGCTATCTCAATGTTTGATATTGTTTACACAAACATCTGAGGTCCTAGTCGTGTCAGTTCAACTTTGGGTTTCTATTATTTTATTACTTTTATACATGACTATTCTCNAACGTGCTTGGTCCTATCATGATGCACTGGATTGTGTGCTATCCCAATCGCAACCTTGTTGTCATAGTACAACCTCATAGGCCCTGTACTTTTGATTTTAAGCTCTCCCGAGATTCTTCTTAGCCATATTAGTTCACAAATCCCATGAGCCATAGCATGAAACTCAGCCTCAGCATTACTTCTAGCTACAACATTTTGCTTCTTACTTCTCCAAGTTACTAAATTTCCTCAAACAAAAGTGCAATAACCTAAGGTCGATCTTCTATCATCCACAAAACCCGCCTAGTCCGCATCCGTGAATGCTTCTACTTTCCTTTCATTCTTTTTACCAAAAAATAGCCCCTTCCTAAGGGTCATTTTAAGGTACCTTAGAATCCTACTCACAGCCCCAAAATGCTTCTCTTGTGGGTTATGCACATGTTGACTCACTACGCTCATAGGAAAGGCTATGTCAAGTCTAGTATGAGATAGGTATATCAATTTCCCAACCAGCCTTTGATACCTACCTTTATCAACCATAGCATCACAACTCATTTTCTCAAATTTTAGATTTTGTTCAATGGGAGTCTCAACTGGCTTGCAACCTAGCATACCTATCTCCTTTAGTAAATCCAACACATATTTTCTTTGTGAAACTGAAATTCCCTTTTTACTCTTAGCAATCTCTATACCAAGAAAATACCTCAACTGTCCCAAGTCTTTCAATTCAAAATCCCAAGCAAAACCTTCTTAACAGCCTCTATTTCTTCAAAACTATCTCCAGTAATAATAATATCGTCTACATAAACAATTAGAATAGTAATCTTACCTACAGAGGTTTTAAGGAATAATGTATGATCAGTCTGCCCCCGAGTGAAACCATACCTCTTAACAGCCTTTGTGAATTTTTCAAACCAGGCCCGTGGAGACTATTTTAGGCCATAAAATGATTTCTTAAATTTGCACACTTTTTCGTCCTTTCCACTCCCTTCAAACCCTTGTGGCATTTCCATGTACACCTTTTTTGCAAGTTCACCATTCAAAAACGCATTTTTTCACATCTAGTTGTTGTAGAGGCCAGTCTAGATTTGTTGCAAGAGACGAGAACCCTGATAGTATTCAACTTAGCCACCGAAGCAAAGGTCACCTCATAGTCTACTCCATAGGTTTGCGTAAATCCCATTGCCGCCTGCCTTGCCTATACCTTTCAACTGTTCCATCTGCCTTATACTTAATAGTAAACACCCCCTTGCAGCTCACAATTGTTTTCCCTCTAGGTAAACTCACCAGCTCCCAAGTCTTGTTTTTTTTCTGAAGAACCTCAATCTCCTCTATCATAATCTTCCTCCAGTTTTCATCCCCTAATGCCTTATGTACCGGTGCTGGAACCTTCACAGCTGAGAGATTTGTGGTGAATGCCAAAAAATCATCTGCCAACTTATTGTACGCCACATACTTAGCAATAGGATGCAACATACAGGATGCAACATACAGGATCTAACACCCTTCCTTAGTGTAATAGGTAAATGTAAATCATCATGCCTTGATTTAGACTCATCAGAAGATAGTTCTTCCTTACCTTGTGACTGTGAATCATTGGTTTCTTTAGTTCTTCCTTACCTTGTGACTGTGAATCACTGGTTTCTTCCAGTTGGGATGATTGCTCATGATCATTAGGTTTCCTTCCACTTTGATAGTTAGTTCTTCGAGAATAACATTGGAGACTTGACTGATTTAATTTCTCCAGACCTCCTACTAGTTCCAATCTTTCCTGAGAGTTTGGTTTACCAAGAGTGGGCTATATAGTTAGAGTAGGACCTAAATTGGTAGGCTGACTATGAGACTGACTCATCCTTATGGGACTAGGCTGACCTATAGGAACCTAACTTGAATTAGGCTGACTAGGAGACTTACTCATTCTT